GTTTAAAAAGGGAGGAGGAAGAATGAAGAGAGTGGAGTGGAGATGGAAAGGAAAAAGGATAGAGGAAGTGAAAGAATTCACATATTTAGGGTATAAGCTACAGAGAAACGGGGGGCAGGAGGCGCAGGTAAAGAACAGAGTTAGGAAAGCAGGAGCGGTGATAAGACAGGTGTGGGGAATGGGAAAGAGAAGGCTTGCAGGAGACTGGATGAAAAGAGTATGGCTAATGGAAAGGTTGGTGGGGACGGTGTTGGAATATGGGGCGGAAATATGGGGATGGAAGGAGAGGAGAGAGGTGGAGGCAATGCAGGAGCGATGGATTAGGTGGACGTTAGGAGTAGACTGGTGCACGCCGGGGTATATGGTAAGAGAGAAGATAGGAAAAGACAAATTTAGGATAAGGGCAGGAAGGAGGGCGGTAGGGTATGAGAGAAAGTTGGAGGAAGGAAGGGGAGGAAGTTTAGCGAGGAAATGTTTTGAGGATATGAAAGAGAGGATAAGATGAGGAAAGGAAAGAACAATGTGGGAGGAAGAGAGGGAGAAATTCTGGGAAGAAAGAGGAATAGAAGGGAAAGAGATAGAGGAAAAAAGGGGAAGGGAAGAGGAAGTATATGAGGGATGGGAACAGAAAGACAGGGAAAGGCAAAAGGAGGAAAGATGGGAGAGGATAAGAGAGTCGAGATATAATAGATGGTATGGGGAATGGAAGGAGGAGGGTTTACCGGAATACCTGAGAAAGGGATGGGGGGAAAGTAGATGGAGAAGGATAGTAAGGTTCAGAATGAACAATGAGATGAGAGGGGCGAGATACTGGGAAGAAGAGGGGAAAAGAAGATGTAGGTTATGCGGGATAGAAGATGAAACATGGGAGCATGTGATAGGAGAATGTGGGGGAGAAGGGGAGAAGGGAAACTGGTGGGAAAGAATGAAGGGAATATTGTAGGAAGGAGGAGAAGGGGAAGGATGGATGAGAGAAATAGAGAAAAAGAGGGAAGAGGGGAGAACGGAAGAAAAGGGGGAGGGAGGGGAAAAGGAGGAAGGAAGTATGAGGAGGAGAATGAGTGGAGGTATGAATGAGGTGGTGGAGAATATATGGGGAACCGGAAGCCGAAGCGAAGCGATGGGTAGGGACGGCTCTTTCTCTCTCTAAAGTAGTAGATAAGTAGGTTAAGGTAGAATTAAGTTATTTGTAAATTAGATGTAAGAATAGAGATAAGAGTAGTTATAAGTATGATTGTAAGAGGTTGTAAGGTTGGGGAACGCTCCTTCAAAAGCGCCTTCAATCTCTTAGGGGACGAATAAAGAATTGAATTGAATTGAATTGAATTATATAGTTCTATTATAAGGAAATTTTTTGAAATTTGTTGCAATATTTATTGTCCGATATTATCTATTGTGATTAATTTATTTAATTTAATTGAATTTAATTAGAATTTTTATTTTCATTTTAAGGTAGTTCTATCGTTTTTCACAATTCTTACGAATATTTAGAAATTTTAATGTTGTAGACGGAGTTAATATCTATCAATTACGAAATTTTGAAGTCGATTCACCGTTTAGTTTAACAGTTATTTACAATTAAAAATAGCATTTTTTCTATACACCACGTGAAAGGATGGCATTTTCATCACATTTTAATATATAACAATAGAACGGATCTTACGATTTTAATAAAAAACCAGTGGGGTATACAATATGAGTGTGAGATTATTTAAAAAAAAAAAAAATTTTTCCCACTGTTTAGTTTCAAAGATATTACTTTTTAAAGAAATGAATTTTTTTCCAAACGAAACATGGAGAGAAATTGCGATGATGATGTGTATTCATACATGAGCTGTTTCTATGTGAAGAGGTTCAGACTGTACAGACTCAACTAAAATTGTTGCTACGGTAACATTGTATAAATGATGAATTTCCTTATCGATTAGAGGCGAAACTTTTAGTTGATATTGTAGCGATAGAACTACCTTAATGCGTTAGTTTCTGTAGCTTTTAATAGATTTGTTCTTACATATAATTGTAGTATCGGGACTCCTCCATAACGCGTAAGTGGGTGATGCGGAGAAGGTTGGGCAGAGGGCCTAGGTAGCTTAATGGTTAGAGCAGTCGCCCGGCAAGCGGAAGGTTCCGGGTTCGAGTGCCGGTCTAGTCACCCGAAGGCCCGATTCTTTTTCGCGGATCCTACATAATTAATAAAATAAATTTTGAAATTCAATTGAACAAATGTATAAGAACAAATCTATTAAAAACTACAGAAACTAACGCATTAAAATAAAAATAAAAATTCCAATTAAATTCAATTAAATTAAATAAATTAATCACAATAGATAATATTGGACAATAAATATTGCAACAAATTTCAAAAAATTTCCTGTAACCTCTAAATCTTAACTTTATCTATCATTATATATATTATATAATAGAGAAGATTCTCGCGCATGCGTATTATAAACCGAGTTCTGCTAGACAAGGAGAACGATATATTGTTTGCACCGTAGTGTTCTCTCATGTTTTTCGGATCCGCTGGCCATATATGCTTATTACATATATGAATTCGACGTCGATTCAACGTCGATTTAACTATCATTTCTGGCTGGGCAATAACAATATGTACAAAGAGAACTGCATCCCCAATAAACCATTCGCTAGAATGAATTATTAATATGTAAATAAATATCCTATTTATTTACAAGAACCTAGACCAAATCTTAAGCGCACGTCACCCTAATATTAAGAAAGCGCCTCTAGTTATAATAACGCAAATAACTAAATACCATCGTTTCACATGCTGTTGCATTCTTGGCTATCTGGATTGTAATAAGTCGACTTACGTAGTTACGTATTTTCTCTGCCTTACTTTACGTCTACGACTACGACAGATGTAAGCGCTTACGTTTAGTTCTTTGCCATAGGCTGAATTCTTGAATTTATAACCAATAAATAGATTTATAGTTAATTTAATCTTACATTTTGTCGATAAAACAGGAAAGAAACAACAGACTTCTCAAGGACATTTAAGATCCTCTAAAGGCCATTGCACGTAAAAAGTTTTAGTCGTAAGCGCAAGAATTGACCAATCACGTTTCTCAATTCAGCCATCCATATCCATAGCAGTAAGAGTCAAGCAACGCGATTGGTCGGATTCTACGGTTACGACTAGAAACCTAAAATCAGAGATGCGCCAACCTCTCCCCACTCCTTCTGGCAGCCGCCATCTTGCGACCATAAAGCAGAAGACAAATTAACAAAGCGGAGCACGGAGCACTCGGAGCTGCAGAGCAGAGCAGTGGAGCAATGGAGAATGGAGCATATTTTAGAGTTTTCTGTTTATCAACTATCACTGAAATATCAATATTGTGCTCGAAAATTAATTTCCTCATAGAAACTTATTTTACTACAACGTCAACCTGCATTTTGCACCATGATCGTGCCTTGCACCACGTGTATTTTGTGTCAACGCGCGCTTGCAATGGTCGGAAGATGGCGGAAAAACCACGTGATTTCGAGAGCCAATCAAAAACGGTTCGGAGTTGGCGCATCTCTGATTTTAAGTATCTAGTTACGACTAAAACTTTTTACGTGCAATGGCCTTAAGGCCGTTCTACAATGGAGTAGGTGGTAGTCGTAAGAAATTGACCTATCACAATTGATTATTTTTGAAATAATCGACTGTGGTTCTCAATTTCTTACAACTACACCCTCTCCATTGTAGAAGGTCCTTTAAATTTAAAAATTAGAATTATAGATATAAGCTGCGTTCGGAAACACTACTCGTGTGCACACGAACTCACATTACCTGTTCGGAAACCTTTGGTGTATATTCAAGTGTTTTTAGGTGAATTGTTCGCAAATAATAGAGGGAATCACACTGGTATGCCACCAAATCACTCGTCGAAATACAGGGGAAGTCAGTGGGATTCGGTATGTTTACATTTTTATTTTACTAGGTAAAACACATAACCTCTTTTTCTGTTTATAGTGAAAGCAAAGATCAGTAATGCACCAACAAAATATTACTTTAATAAAAGAATGGCATCAAGTCGCAATGAATAATGATTTCCCGTTATGTGATTCAAGTGAGAATATAATTTTTCAAGATATAAATATATATATAATATATATATATAATATAAATATATAAATATATATATATATATATAATATAAATATATAAATATAAAATATAAATAAATAAATAAATATATATATATATATAATATATATTTGTACACAAAATGTTTACAAATATACGCATCCGTTTGGAAGCACTCTACACCCGAGAACATACTGTATCCATTTTTCCACTGAAATCACAGCAAAACCAGTATGTCGACTCTCTGTCAGAACCTTTGATCTTTCATTTCTGATTATCCGCCATGTTTTTGAGTGGCCCAGTAGCGTATCAACTATTAAAATGTCCCAGTTTTTATTGTATCTAGTTTAAGCATAAATTTATAAATAATCCGATTATTATTTATTATTAAAAATTTTATATTTATACTTTAAATAAAATAATAATGTAAAAAAGATATAATTTTTCTAAACGTACATTTATTGCACATTAGACATTCACATGTGACACTGTGACCACAGTATTCCGTCTCTGAGCATCACACTGATCTTGCGTCTGATTGGTTCCACCCAAAAACGGCGGATCGACGCAAACCAGAAAAAAGGGTGGAGTGCACATACTGGTTCTACTGTGCTGAAATCACGAAACCACACCGAGTGTGTAGTTTGCCGAACGCAGCCATAGTGTATTAGTGAGTGAGTTTTGTATGCGTGTGCGTGTGCGTGCGTGCGCGTGCATGTGTGTGTGTGCGTGTGTGCGTTGTGCGTGTGGCGTGCGTGCGTCCGTGTGTGTGTGAGTGCGTGTGTTGCGTGTGTGCGCGTGTATGTGTGTGTGCGTCAAGATACATATAAAATATACACATACATGCATATTGTATATACAATATATGTACATATATATAATCAAAAAAATGTATTGTTTTATTTACCATCTGTAGTCCCTCTATGTTCGAAGATTATTATACCAATCAATCCGGTAAGAACAGCCAGTAAAACGAAAAATATGATTCGTGCACACCAATGTCCACCTGTGCTACTTTCTTTATAAATATGAATAGTAACATTTTCGACAGAAGTATCGGTCGGACTGATCAAAGTAGGCGGTGGAGTACCCGTATCTTCATCATCTAAATATAGTAAATTAAAAAATGTATATTAATAACAATATTTTTGCATATATATTTAATATATACTTACATATTTGTATGTGTATTTATATTTATTGTACGCATATTTTTATAGAAATCACAAAATAATAAAGAGCAAAAATGTGAAATGTCTAAAAGAATCGCATATTACCTTTGTAGAAATTTATCACTAGTAACGCCAATTAATCACTTATTTCGAGTACTTAAAATACTGATATACAGTAATTTAAGTACTCGAAATAAGTGATAAATTGACGTTACTAGTGATAAAGGAGGATGTTAAAAAGATCGATTTCCCGACTATCGATGGAACCTAAAATTCGAGTTCCATGGGTATCTATGAACCATATAAGATGTAAAAATGATAGTCTATTTTCCTAGAGACCTGGGGAAAGTATTGAAAATCTATCAAAACTATTGAAAATAGCGTCATTTGATCGATCTAAAGACAATTAAAATCAATGACATGGATGAATTTTTAATTAAACCAAGTTCTGGTTAAATACTTATCAAATAGTTTTTGAGATCAATAATGTTTTAATATCGGGACTGCAAAAATTTTTTTTCGCGAAAACAGCCTTCTATATGTTAAAAAAAGTTAAAAAATTTAAAAAACCACCATCTCATCACACTCCCCAAAAAGTTTGCAACTTATATATATAGATATAAATAGATATCCAATTTTGAGAAAATTAATCAATAAATATATGAATGCGTGGGTGGATGCATACATAGTAATGTAAAACTTAAAAAAATACATGTTAACGATCCCTGAAAAATATGTAAATTTTGGTACCAATTTCGAGAAAATCGGTCCATAAATGCACTTGCATGTGGGTGGATGAATAGGATGGTAAAAATTTTTAAAAATCATATAGTAGCCATTCCTGACAAATTTACAAAATTTGAATACAAATTTCGAAAAAAATCGGTGAATAAATGTGTGAATGCGTGGGTGGGATAAAACTTTAAAAAACCACATAGCAGCTTTCTCCGAAAAATTTGCAACATTTTGGTACCAATTTCGTGAAAATCGGTCCATAAATGCGTATGCGCGTGGGTGGATGCGTGGGTGGATGCATGAGTGGGGGTGAAATTGCAGAAATGTTTTATATAAAAAAACAAAGTAAAAGCATTAATTTACAGAAAGATACGGAGAATTTTAGTGGGATTTATGATCGTGTTCTTGACGCTATTTAAATTATTTTTATTTTTACCTATTTATTTATTTATTTGACTTTGTTATTAGGTTTTAGATTGCGAAAGACACATTGGCTTTGTCTCGATTTTTTAACGCGTAGTGACTAAGATTCTTGCTAACTGTCAACATCTTTTTATTTCTTGCTTACTTCTGTCAATTTTACATTGTTCATTAAAACAATGGTGAATGTTGTCGGAGGTATGCAGTGAATTTGATTTACTATATTAATTTATTTAGCATTTACTTTTGGTATGTAACATTTGTTTTTTGTTTATGAATTCATAATTAATTGTTTCGATAAATGTATTAAAATTATAATTATTTTTATGTAACTTTTTATAGATTTTTACTTGAAAAGGGCTGCAATGACAGCCAAAACGTTGTATTTTAACTAATTATCTACAATAAATGATTGCCAGTTTGGTCGACTTTTACCATTGAGGAAAGATTTTTATACTGGGGAAATTTAAATTGATGATTTTTATTATTTAAAAAAAATTTAATATTTTTTATATTTAAAAAAAATCGTTTTATATATATATATATATATATATATATATAGTACTAAAATTATTAAAAATATTCAAAAATATTTTTATTATTTTATAATTTAGAAAATATTTTATATTATATTACAACAAATATTTTTAATAAAAAACCACTCCTCAATGTTTAAAGTCGACCAGACTGGCAATAATTTATTATAAATAATTATTTGAAATACAACAACGTTTCGGCTGTCATTGCAGCCCTTTTCAAGTACATCTATAAAAAGTTCCATCAAAATAATTATAATTTAATACACTTATTCGCAACAATTAATTATACATTTAAAAACAAAAATGTGTTACATACCAAATTTAAAACAGTAAATCAACTTCTATGCAAACTACCGACAATGTTAACGCTTGTTTTGATGAACAATGCAAGACTGACAGAAGTAAGCACATATTAAATAGATGTTAACTGTTCGCAAGAATCTTAGTCACTAAGCGTTAAGAAGATAGAGACGAAACTAAATGTGTCTTTCGTAATTTAAATCGTCATAATAAAGTCAAATAAATAAAAATAATAATAAATAAATAGGTAGATATAAAAATAAAAATAAAATTAAAAGTAAAAATAAATATAAAACGACTTAAATAACGTCAAGAACACGATCATAAATCCCACTGAAATTCTCCGTATCTTTCTGTAAATTAATACTTTTTCCTTGTTTTTTTATGTAAAACATTTCTGCAATTTCTCTTTTTCTTGTCTGTTTTTCCTCATGCAGAATCACCGGAGAATCCCAACGGAACTCATGATCGTTGCAAGTCCGATGTAAACTAACGACAGAATGCAATGTCTTGTCTTTTTTTTATGTTATTTCTATGTTCTTTAATGCGCGTTTCTAAATGTCTCTTTGTCTGTCCTATATAAGCCGAATCGCAATTCGCACAATCAATTTTATAAACAACATCAGTTCTTTTTGCAGAAATGTTTTACATAAAAAAACAAGGAAAAAGTATTAATTTACAGAAAGATACGGAGAATTTCAGTGGGATTTATGATCGTGTTCTTGACGTTATTTAAGTCGTTTTATATTTATTTTTACTTTTAATTTTATTTTTATTTTTATATCTACCTATTTATTTATTATTATTTTTATTTATTTGACTTTATTATGACGATTTAAATTACGAAAGACACATTTAGTTTCGTCTCTATCTTCTTAACGCTTAGTGACTAAGATTCTTGCGAACAGTTAACATTTATTTAATATGTGCTTACTTCTGTCAGTCTTGCATTGTTCATCAAAACAAGCGTTAACATTGTCGGTAGTTTGCATAGAAGTTGATTTACTGTTTTAAATTTGGTATGTAACACATTTTTGTTTTTAAATGTATAATTAATTGTTGCGAATAAGTGTATTAAATTATAATTATTTTGATGGAACTTTTTATAGATGTACTTGAAAAGGGCTGCAATGACAGCCGAAACGTTGTTGTATTTCAAATAATTATTTATAATAAATTATTGCCAGTCTGGTCGACTTTAAACATTGAGGAGTGGTTTTTTATTAATTATTACTGGCAACCTTAAGGATTATTATTTAAATATTTTTAACATTTATTTTTGTATAGCTTTGTTTAATATTCATAAAAAAGAAGGAATTTTTTAAATATTTTCTACAGAATTAAATATTTTCTACTGTTATTTAATATTAAATAAACTTTTGGATTTGTTGAGAAATAATTTTTGATTAATAAAAGAAAAAGGTAGGCCAACTAAACGAGCTAAATTAATTAGGTGTTAGATTATATTCGGGTAGACTTTTTTCTTTTTACTCTAATCACTTTAAATGCCAAAAAATAGGAATAATATACAATTTAGTTGACAGAGCGATTTTATTATCACATCCACGGTTTCATGAAAAAAAAATTTAGAAATTGTTATTAACACATTGTCTAACGTATACCTTTTTCATTTTTCCTTAATACTCTTAATCTAATTTTTACAAAAATAAAACGTAAATAAAAAATTTCATTATCAACAAATTTAATAAAACTGAAACAAATAATACAGCAATTAAACATAATAATACAAAAGAAAATAAAAAATACTTTGTCATTTCGTACATTGAAACTCAGAATTAGTTGCATCTATGATAAAACACCTGATATAAAAGTAGAATACCGCTCTATCAAGAAATTGTTTTGTTAATTGTTTTATAAAAGTAAAAAAAGACAAGAATGAGAGCGACCTTATAATTTTAATGTTATTTATAAAATATTATGTTTCTGTAATGTCTCTACAATGTTACATTGTAACTTGCAAGATTGGAACATTGCTGCAATGTATAATTGCAATGATCTGTGCCGTATGCGTAATATTATCCACACAGCACAGAATATTTATAAAATAAATGCAGAGATATTTAAAAATCACCAGTAATTAAAAATAATAATAATAAAACACAATCAATATTAAGGGTTTATTATTAATAATAATAATAAAACCCTCAACCAAACTGGCAATATTCCTTTAAATAAGAATCACTACGTTTCGATCTTAGGTTTAGGTCCTTATCAAGTGATTTGCGAGATATTATAATTAGTCAGTAAAACAAGAAATCATTGTGTTAAATGATAACGTGTCGTAAACATTAAATACAATGTAAGGAGGACCTTCTTTTGGAGGATAGTGTTTCATTATTATTACTTATAAAATATTTATAGAATATATATATTTATACTCAGATAGCACATGGACATTCAATGGATGTCCATTGAACGTCTACTTTCTGGACGTCGGACATCTATTTTTGGTCCAAATAAGATTTGTCGGACGTCTGATGGACATCCATATCACATACGCTTGACACAACTTCGGACATCCATAAAATATCTGAAATAAGACTGTTGTTGAACCTATTTTGGACTTATTTTGGATCATCTTGGACGTATTAACGATATCCATAATAAATCCAAAATAGGTCGAAAACGGTCTCATTTCGGACATATTACGGACGTAATTTTGGGATACATACTCGCGAATCTAATAAAATACTAAAACAATTGATTTATTCAAATATAAACATTTATTGACTTTTGAGTTTGGTACCGAAAATATTGTTTTGTCAATATATATAATAATATATAATAATTATTATATATTATATATTTATTTTTATACATATACATGTAAAAAAATATATAATATAATATACAAAAATGATCAATATTACATACAAGATGTCAGGGTAAAGATTGTGCCAATTATACTCGCGAGCAAG